GGCAGTGAAATAAGAGCTCAGCTGACATTAACATCATTATTGCTGGAGGTGGAAGTGGAAAAGTGTTATTTCACACTTTATGGGACGCTCATTCTGTTGATTCTAGCATCAGGTGAGTAATGGTTATGCCTTTTATTCGTGGTGAGTGAAGTGCTTCTGGAGCAGCAGTGAAGCGTCATCTGATCTGTGATAGTCTGTGTGTGTCTGTGTATATATGTCTGTGTGTATATATATATATGGTCAGGCCCTTACGGATCTTGCTGGTACGGCCCAGGGAACATTTGCACTGCAAAAATTTTGATCTTTTCATTATGTAGATTATGTCTTATGTCTTACTTATTTTACAAGTAAAAAATCCTTGCCAGCACAGCAAAATCATTTCCACTTGTGTGAAATACAAATCCTCTTAAAGGACCAGTGTGTAGGATTTATAGTGGTGAAGTTGTAGATTGCAACTAATTGAACACTGCATGTGTCTGTATTTGACAACCTGGGAATGAGAATGGGCAGTGAAGTGTGTAGGAAACTATGGTGACCGTGAAACTTGCAAAAAACGCAAAAGGCTCTTTCTACAACCAGTCTTTGAATTGTCCGTTCTGGGCTACTGTAGAAACATGGCATTTCAACATGGTGGCTTCAATGAAAGAGGACCTGCAGCGTCTGTGGATAAAAACAGCTCATTCTAAGATAACGAAAACAACAACAATTCCTCTATTCAGGTGATTATACATTAATGAAAACATACCTGTGAATANNNNGATCCTCGTAAATGTTACACACTGAAAATACTACAATACCCAGTAGCCACAGCGGCCATTGCTAAAGTAAAGAAGCCAGACCTGCAGCAAAATACCGAACACTGTTGTTGAAACTGGGAACAAAATACTGAACCATAGTTACTGAATCCATCTAAAATTGATCAAGAATCTGAAACACAACTGTTGAATTTACTATCAGGTTTATACAAAGAGTGACCTTAACTTCAGACAGCCTTTGGCGACACAACAGAATTTCAAGCTAGGTGATTGCATGTTTTTTACAGAAAAGCATCTTAGGAGTTGTATTAAATACGTATTCATGTATATTTTCTTAGCCATTTGAGGACAGCGCACAAAGCCAGAACACAACACTGACATAACGTATATCACCTTATAGAGTTGGAACTTGTTAGCAAATAAATGCAATTTACACATTCAGTAGATACAGAGCAACATTCATTCATTCATGTTTCTGGCCACCTGATAGATGTAAGTCCAAATTTGACTTTGTTTTAGTCTCCACTATCTTCTGTGGTAATTATCTGGCTCTTGCTGCTGCACTACAGTATGTTCACCAGCTAGTTGTTAACATTGTCTGCCATTTGGTGTTGAGCAGGTTGCTCAAACACCAGGAACACTGCTGATGGGTGCAGGGAGAGTGAATAAAAACAGTAAAGTTGTGGGCCACACAACCACAACAAAGAGTTGAAATAAACTATAAAAAAACTGCAGTTAGGTGATTATTTTCTGTGGTTTGTCATTAATAGAAACACCTTTCTCATTGTGAGAAAGTAATTTGGTACGTTAATAATAAATATTGATTAGAGCAACTTTAGGTTTTTACATACACAGGCCACAACTTGAAGAACCCAGTATTTTCTAAAGTAATTAATAACTTTTTTTTTACTGAGGATTTAACCAAAGGAGTTTTTTGCTCATCCAAGCCTTGCAAACTGCTCTAAATGCCAGAAAACAGATGCAAAAAATTATCATGTATTTTACTTCAAAAGGACACCCTAAATAACTTCTCCTACTTTATAACTCTAGTATATGTTCTTTCAAGATGCCACCACCCATTTATAGAAAATGTGTTGGTTTGTTTTGGAAACATGCTGAAATAATATTAAAGTACTTTTTTTTCATTCGTTTGAAGAAAACAAGACTTTAGATCTCAATAGTAAGCAAAAATGATTTGATAAGATGGAGTTATTTTTGCAGGGTGCCCTGAGTGGTCGTTTCTTCAAACAGCCCCCCCAGTGTGAAATAGATCATGGGCAAATGTCCGCTTTACTCAGCTGTTTTGTTGATGCCACTGGTACAGACAGCATCCTAATGAGCTTATTGTGAACACTCTCCATTTTCATTTCATACAGTCATCTAGGGCCTCTCCTGCTGTCTCTTTAAAGAAAATTTAATTTAGTGCTGTGTAACCTTAATGAAAGCTGAAAAACTGCATGCAATCTCACATACGGCTTATTTGAACCATAATGTGTTTCAATCTGTATGTGTATGTGTGTGCACATTGCATGCAAACATCCACCTTGATATTCATGTGTCATCTGTTCAGTTATGTTTATGACAAATGAACGGAACTTAACAGAGTTCAAATTTAAGAGACAGTTTCTTGAATCTATTTTAAGGCAGCAGATCTCAGTTGAGATATTTCATCCTGTATCAAACCAAATCTCCTTTGCAATAAAACGGTTCCTGAAAAGTACAAGCAGATCTAAATCAAAGTTACAAATTAAAAGCAGAGGACCACAAGGCTTGAAATTACTAGAGAAGAAATCAGAAAATGAACTCCACTGATTTTAAGGGTGTTAAAGCTCATTACTTAAGCAAAAGCAAAAATGGTGATTAACTTAACAGACTGGAATACTTTTCTCGGATGACTGACTTTGAGCACACCTTTGGCAAACTCAAATGAGCAAATACGGAGGAGGAACTGCTCTGGGACTGAACCAAAAAAATGTAATTCTGCTGTGGGTTTTAAATATGACAATGGTGATATCCAGTCCTCTATAACTCAAAATCATGTGCTATAAATGTCCTGATAATGTTATTTTCATGGTGTAATTCTGCAATCCCTGTGTAAGACAGTGTTTAATAATGCAATGTTGTGATTACAGTAGGATGTATGCAGTGTAATATACTGTAAGTGACAACTAGCAAAG